ACATCTGAAGAGGTCGTTTAAAAAAGACATTTGTTCAACATGTTGAACATGAACACCAAACAATATGGTTCAGAATTTTCAGCCATGAAATTTTTTAAGTGTTTTCAGGTCGTGAATGACAGTTAGAGTTTAAAACACCTCCCGATGACTCAAGACAAGATCAAGTTCAGGTCACTAGATCTCAGTGAACGATCACGTCAGGTCGTTTGTGTTACTACAGCACTTCGGAAGTCTGATTAAGCAATCAACTTTAGGTTGTTTGCAACGATGTGATTACGCTCAGCGCTCAGCTCGAGCAAGCATTTTTGAAGACAAGTCAGGTCGCGACATAATCATGAAGTTCTAGATATCCAATTCCTTGAATCTCAAGAATTGGGGAGCTTTTGTTATGCCTAAAAAGTTAGGGCTGACGTAAGCTTTTATCAACGAGCACCAATTATAGTCCAAGAAGGCTTTACGCTGTCTAGAATCTGCCACGTCGCCCTAAGACAGAGAGAATACAGCTGTCACTAACTTAGCAGGCTCAAGTTTTGTCTGTGAATAAATGTGATCCACACACCTGTCCAAGCCCCATATAATTTAAGGATATTTCATAAGTTATTAGCCAATGAGATGCAAGGAAGGACTTGCACAACACCTACCCACTTGCAGACTTGTAATCATTACCTTGAACTCAGCGGTTATAAATAGAGGACTACCCCTCACAAAATTGGGATCTCTGATTTTAATAAAAACAAATAGCACAGACAAGCTAGGGGAAAGAGATTGACTTAATATTCTCTCTGAATATCAAGCTCTTGTAATTCTATTCGTAGTTTGCAACTTCTTGTAACTTGGCTAATAACCAAGAACACTCATATAAAAGAAAACAGTAGATGTAGGAATCACTTTAAGTATCTGAACCACTATAAAATGTTCATTGTCTCATTTACTGTTAAGTCTTTGCATGCTATTGTGACCATAATCAAACACGTATAATTTTTATGATTTGCTTAATAGTTTATACGTGCAAGATCGTTGGTGTCAAAATCACATATCAATAATTAGTACTCTTGATAAAATTAGGATGAAACTTTTCAATAGATTTGATAAATGTTAATAAATGTTGTTTGGTAGTATCTATTCGGTTTTCCGAATGCATAATTGGCCGAAAAATCAATTGGTAAACACCCTGTCAACATCATTTGTTTTTTATTTCCTTTATTTTAGGATATAATATATGATTTCTTTCTATTTGCTCTTTAATTTATGCATTATTTCCGTTTAATTCTCAATTGTATTATATGATTTTGAGTAAACAACTTTTTCTTACTATTTGCCCTAGTGACACTTTTCCACCCAAAAAATTTTAAAATACTATTTTTCTATTCAAAGATTATATTTCATTAATACCTAAGACCGACTAAAGCAAACCTTGGGTGGGAAAAAGTTGTCTACTCGTATAATGACCGACTAAAGCAAACCTTGGGTGGGAAACAGTTGTCTACTCATATAATTTTCAATAAAATTAATATATGTAAACTTATTAATGGCTTGTGGTACCAACCAATTACCAACAACTGGGGTAGGGTAGATTTTCTCTTTACGGAGACAGCGACACAATTATTTGAAGCAGCCCTACTGTTGAGACAGAAGACATAACTTGGTGGCATATTGGCGTACGTATTATTTCATTATTAATTGGAGGCAGCCACCCCAAATGAAATACCAATTAATTCATTTTCCAACTAGTGACAACATTACGAATAGGCCAAGTGTTGATGATTGTACATATTCACATAAAAACCAAAAATCAAATTCAGCTGCATATGCGTTTGTATAAGCATGCATGGTGTATATTGACTGACAGCTATAGGTTGGGGTTTCTAGTTTCAACCAATTATCAAATCTACTTTTTCAAAATGATAGAGAAATAAACCAAATTTGATCTAACACAAGAACACAATACAGAGAGTTGACGAGTGAGAGATCGAGATCATGGAGAAGAAGACGGAAGAAGGATTGCTGAAGAAGAAGTATTATGAGAAGTGTGAAGGTTGCTAAGTTGAGAAACTTAAAGCTACCAATCATGGCGTTCCTGTTAAGTATTTACTCTATGTGGGTATTGTTGTTCTCTCCGCAGGTACGTAGAGCATTGAATCTTTGCTATTCATTTCTTATCACTTTGCTTCTAATTCTTGTTCAATAATCATGGCGTTTTTCGAATATATTTTAGAGAAATAGAACAATATATTTTTGTATTCTTTAATTATATTTTTATTCGTAGCTAGTTGTTTTTATGTTTCAGTTCTCTCAATAATATATGAGTATTTTAGAGTTGTTTGATATGTTTATGGTAAGATCCAAGCCTATTAATTAATCTCCAATATCAATCAATTACACAACCAAAACAATCCACATAATAACACAATCAAGAACAAAAACAAGATTTTTATCGTGATCCACCTATCTAAGATTAGATAGATTACATCTACGTTGAGCTCCAGAATATTTGGGGCTCAATGCACTAATTAATCAAGAACTTACAGTTTACAAAAACAAAGATCAACCAATTTTTCACTTATTCACAACCAAAACTCATTTTATAACTCCTAATCTAAAAAAACTCTTTCTGATATCTCTAATTTTTTAGAGAACAAACAAACCTCGTAAAATGACTAAGAATGAATCACCCACTCACTGACACTGCACTGATTTTGGACTGAAAAATGAAAAATATAGAGAGCACTCATTATTTTTCCCGAAAGAGAGAGGAAGACTGATGTAAAAATCTGCATTTTGGGATTGCTTATATAATGTTGACCAGATGGAGAAGAGTAGCCATTGGATCAGATGAAATCAACGTTTAGGATTCATTCAAGTAGAAAACCCAAAACGGCAACGCATCACTTAGTCACTTTGAGCACCATGCGATAGCGTTTTATCGGCTTCACTTCAACAGTTTATTTATTTATTTACAAGTAATAAACTTTGGTTAATGAGTGGGATAAACATTGGTGGAGCCATAGAATTATTTAGGACTTAAGTGGCTTAAATTGATTAAAATAAATTTCTATAATTTAACATTTCATATTTATTTAGTATAACATGGGAGTAATTCGTGGTTTAGAAAATTATAAATATTAATTTTATTTAAAGAGTGGAATTTTAAATGTTTATAGTAATGTCATGAAAATTATTCTAAATAAATGACAAAAGAAGAAGAATTTAATTAATTTAGAGTCCTCAATTTGAAATACTTTGACCTTTTCTTAGGTGAAATGCTTGATACAATTGTTAATAAAATTCCAAAATATACCGATATGACATCATTTGGCGCCTTAAATGAATAATTCCTTTCGAACTCTTAAATAATAATATTTTGTTCTTTCATTAAAATTGAACGATAGGAATAATTAATTAGGTTAGGCTTCTTAAAATACATCGAGCTTTTCTTTCATAAAATGGGAATTAATTAGAATTTCATAGGCATAATTCTGTTCATATTATTATTAAGATTGAAAGATTTGATTCATTTATAATAACATTATTTTAAAATAGTTTATCTTTTATATAGTTCAAGAAAACTCTTATAATTATAAATTATTAAGAAAAATATATTTATCTAAATTTTATGATAAATAAAATTAGATGATAGATATGTAAATACGTGAGTGCCCATAATCTCGACAACCTATCTATGACCATGGTTTTAAAACCTGGCCCGACCTGACTTGTTGAACTAGGAACTAGTGATCGAGCCAGGTCAGTTTGACTAAAAAACAGGAAATATTAAATAATTCAGTTTGAACCGTGGTTGGATCAGATTTTTTGTTATAAACCGTTGGTCCAATTGGTTTGACCCAGCGGTTGAACCGCATTTTCATTATTTTTTAATATGTCATGCTGACGTTAGAAGGATGTCATCACGCTGACATCAACATGATGACATCATGGTTCAACCGCTTTCGACCGGTCAACCCAGTGACCTGACCGGGTCACTCCTAGGGTCGGGTTTTAAAACCTTGCCCATGACCCAACTCGATCCTTTTTTTGGGGTTGAGATGCAGATGGTCAAAATAGTAATTTCAACTTTGCCACGTAAGGGATGAAAGTTTAGCTTTCAATCCAAACAAAATAAACAAGATTGTTATCCACCTATTCTTCTTTCTTTCTATTTGTTTCCAACATTTCCCACAAACAACCTAATTATAAAAGCCCCACATAATTAACCACCACTAGGTTACTCTTGGATATATTATTCAAGAGGTTTTGAGTTCGATCGATCCATCTGGGTTGCTAACAGGGCTCACCACTGAGGGGATTTATACGACTGTCAACTTTAGGACCTTGGAGGACTAGTTGAGGTACACACAAGCCGGCTCGGACACCTCCGGTCACCAAAAAAAAAAAAAAATAAAATAAAATAAAATTTCCCCACATAATTTCCAAAGATTTTACCTTTTTATTTTTTTTAGGATTTTTCATTTATTGATTTATTCTCATTTCTTTATGTAAGTTTAAACGAAATAATTTATAATATAAGGAATGTTACTAAATAATTAATAAAGTCAAGTTACTTAATTGTTGAATGTTGAACAACTATTAGTCAGTCAATATTGTGAAACACAAGTTTACAGAAAAGTGGGTTTTCTCCTCTCCTGTTTAAGCATGTGAAAAAGGAAAAAAGGGTGAAGATTTGAGAATTAATGCCCTTTGGCTTTGATTGCCCGAAATTAAAGTTGGAATATATTCAAGGAAGTGAAGAACCACACCTTTGATGATTTGATCAAGACTGAATAATTTTTGTTTGGCAATATCTCCATTCTCAAATAAATTCACAATTATTATGTATTTAATTAACTAGTCAAAGCTTATTTTATTTTCTAGATCAATGATGGTCATGAATAATTATAAAATTAATATTTTATAATAAAATATTTTGTTTGTTAGATTTTCATTTTTAAATTTTAATCCGTTAGAAGTCACATTAGGGCCCACTCAAAATCTGAACCGAAAAAGAGCTGTGTGAGAGCCGCAATTTCCAAGTAAAGAAAAGAGATTCGTAAAGCGCGTTTAAGAATGAGATTGGTAGTTTCGACGAAATTGGTTTTGCATTTGGTTAGATAAGAGAGTTGTGAGAAGAAGAAGAATAATTAGAATTGGAAGAAAGAAAATATGGGAGAGAATGATGATCATGATGTAAGAGAACGGTTACTGAAGAAGAAGAAAAAGTATTATGAGAATTGCCCTGGCTGTGAGATTGAACTCTTGAAAGAATCAAACTCTGCTGTTCCTTTCAGGCATTTATTCTTTGTTTGGGTTATAGTTCTCTGCGCAGGTATTCATCTCTATCTTTGTATTTTTTTCAAGTGAAGTAGAGAACAGTGAAATACAGGTTTTATGTAATAGTTCAAGGGCGAGGTTTTACTTACTTATGGTAGATTGTGATGATTATCGTAGGAAATTAAGAGCTGGATTACATTGCAAATTTTTAACTGGCAAAGAATAGAACTTGTTTAATATAAGTAACGGTAACTATAATGCAATGGAATTATGCCAATCTTCACTTGGTATAAACGTGGAATTCTTCATTCTGCTTGGATATTTCCGGGGTGATTGATTGTTAGATTGATAATGATGAAAGAATCAGTTGGAACACAAACTCCAACCAAGAAAAAAATATAAATTTATAGAAGATTTTGTTGGTAGATATATCATTGGCTTTTAGAATTACGGGATGTTTGCTTATATTTGAAATGGTTCTATATAATATATCATTGAATTGTTTTTCAAATTAAATAAACTTGTTGAATGTTTAAACTTTTGAAGAGTTAGCTTTCTTTTTTTCGTTTTATCCGCTTGTGTGCTTTAATTAGATTATTTTTTGTTCAGTTAATTATAAATACAAGGTTTATTATTGTCCTCCTTCTTCTCAGAATTTTGTACGCAGACAAATATTATTAGTGAAATAATCAATTTTAAATAAATGGGACTTGGTGTAATTATTTTTGTTTATGAAGTTTGTATTCTGAATTTTGTTCTTTTTGTTTCTTGAATTGTGGTGTCCTCTTTCACCTTTGAAAATGTAGTGACAATAATATCTGATTAGGATTAAGTCATCCTTTGGTTGTTTGTAATCAAATCACACTTTATATCTTGAGCGAGAAAACCTGGAAACAGTCTTTCATGCATGTCAAATGTATTTTATGCGATAACATATTTGGTGTGATATTTCTATGTCCTCTGTTTTTGGTAGAAACTATTTCCAAAGAGAAGTAAAAGTTTCTGATGAACATGTTAAACTTCATTCTGACATTTCTTTCTTTCTTTTTTTTTTTTTTTTTTTTTTTTGACCAAAATGATTTTATTTACATGTTCGTCTTTGTTGGTAACAACAGTGGTGGTTCTTTTTCTGCCATATATTATTTATCCTGAAGAACTGAATCTCTGACGATATCCTCTTTGGTTTAACTTTTGCAGCTTTGCCTATATCATGCCTTTTCCCTTTCCTATATTTCATGGTAAGCATGTTGGTTCTTTAAGTGATTATTTTTAAGAGATTATATTCTATGGCAAAACAAAATAAATGTCTTGTTTGTTTCTTTTCTAAATTATGTTCATTCATGAGAGTGGCTTTGGGTTATCTGGTATTATGGGGATTGTTTGATAAAGTAAAACGAAAAGAAAAAAAAAAAGAATTGAAATATGATTTCATTATTGCAGCACAGAGCTGTTTATCATGGTTCCGATCATCCTGTGTCGATTTTAAAATCTGCAGCCAATTTTTGAAATGACTTGGAGCTACATGTAAATGTATTGCCAAATTGTTTTTATGTTTATTTATGTGGAGTCCTTGGATTTTCACTTACTGCAGATAAGGGATTTCCATATTGCAAAAAGGGAGGAAGATATTGGCTACTATGCTGGTTATGTGGGTGAGCATAAATTCTGTACTTGTTATTTGTTTTGATGCTGTATGTAAGTGAAGAATTTGTTTAGTGGTTTTCTCATTATTTTTTCATCTCACTTGAAGGATCTGCATTTATGTTTGGAAGAGCATTGACTTCTATCCTATGGGGAATGATAGCTGATCGCTATGGTCGAAAACCTGTCATTATGTTTGGTGCGATGGCTATGTTAGTACTGCTAGTGCTGGACACTTTTTTTTTTTTTTAATATAAATCTTTTGAATATTGTTCATTGATGAGCCTGTAAAATATGAAATAGAACTTTTCATATCCATCATCTGTACTTTATTATACATATATTGATTATTATTGCAGTGTTATTTTCAACACTCTCTTCGGCCTTAGTACAAACTTTTGGATGGCAGTTTCTGCAAGGTTTCTTCTTGGAAGTTTGTGTGGTATGCTTGGTCCAATGAGGGTAAGTCGCTTACTTCAGAATTAGATATTCGAGCTGTTACAGTTTTTTCCAAAATCTATGTCTCTGCTTATTGATTGATTTGTAGAGTTGCTCCCAACTTATGCATATCTGAACGTTCTAACAGTTAAATGCTGTTTGCTTGGTGCCAACACATTTTTAGAGAGGATTAGGTGTGCTGGACAGGAACTGTGCAAGTTTTAGCAGGTCATGTCCTTGTGGGTCATTATTAATAATCGTACTAAGCAATTATATGGTTTTATATGTACATGATATGTTATGGTAGACTTAGGTGCCACTCAAGCAATCTCTGGTCCCATTTATCTTACTGTTCCACTTTGTCTATATGTGGCTGAGCCTTGGGTTCTCAATAAACCTGTTATTTCTTTGTAAACTCTGAGTTTAGCTTGGTCTTAGCCTGCACATGTTTGTCTTTGCTTATGAAATCTCTGGCTGCCTTGTTGATTGTGTGGTTTCTTCTCACTGCCAATCCGTGCACCAGTATTTGGAAGATTCAGTGATGATATATATTTAGGACATATTTGCATTTGTTTGTGCCACTTAGCCACTAACATGGTGTAGAGTTGATGTTTATCTTGTATAGATAACTGATGAACTTTTTTTTTTTTTTTTGCAATCCTTCCCGTAATTTGAGATACTCTAACCATACAGTTATTTTTTTAATTTGAGCAGGCATATGCTTCTGAAGTTTGCCGTAAGGAGTATCAAGCTTTGGGAATGTCCATTGTAAGAAGTAACTAAATTAATGTACACACATATATATTTATTCATTTATCCATCTATATATGTCTTTCATTTATTGATTCTTGAAAGATGATAACAATATTAAATGTAGAATTTTCATTTTAGATTAGCACATCATGGGGCATTGGATTAGTCATTGGTCCAGCTATTGGTGGCTTTCTTGCACAGGTATATTTCTTTGGATTAATGAAAGATGTATTTCTAAATGTTTGAAAATTGTGAATCAACAAATATATCGTGACTATAATCGGGATGCAAACAAGCTAAGCTGAGCAGAAGCTTGGCTATTTTTACTGCAGCTTAAAATGGAAAAAAGTCACAGCTCCAGTTTGTTAAGTTCGTATGGATTTCTGTAAGATTAAGAGAAGTTTGAGCTTGGCTTCAATTGGCTCGGTGAGGTTATTTGAGCCACTTTTGTCAAAAGAATTACCCTGGTCTGTTTATTTGACAGTGTAGATGGCATTTAATATTCAGATCATGTCTTGTGCTGCCTTGCCTCACATCTATCACCTTTATAACTAATCAAATGGTGGTTACCTGCTCCATTTTCAAAAACTGAAGGGCAGTATAAGTGCTCCTATTCACTATAAGTATGAAGGGCATGAGATCCACCATTCGAATAATTTTTAATTTTTTAATTTTTTGTCTCCATTCACTATAAATATGAAGGGCATCATAAATGCAAAGCAACTCAAGTATTAGAGACGCAAAGAGAGGTTGATAGAAAATTGGGTTTATTGGGATTTTTGGTTTCTCAGAGTTATCCTACCAAAGTTTGTCTATTCCACTTTGATAGAAAAATTATTCTTTGTCTTCACAGTAGGCATAGGCTAAAACCGAACACATGTATCGTTGTGCGCTTCCCGTTATTGTAATTGTTTTTCCTTTTAACTTTACCATTATTTCTCCGTGGAATTGAGCCCATGACAATAAGACATTTTAACAGGATCCTTCCTGCTCCTTTCACTGCCTCCAGTTTGGGCTCTTGAAAGCAATTCAAATAAGAATTCTGGAAAATAAGTTTTGAAACTTGATTCCATCCCATAATTTTCATGACTGATTCTGATATTGTTTTGCTTATTTCATTTTATCTTTTATGCATCTAACTTATTAATCTTTTGGCTTTTGCTGGATTGGTACTTTAGCCTGCAGAGAAATATCCAAGTGTATTTTCTAAAGATTCCCTTTTCGGAAGGTGCACAATAGCCTTTCCACTGAATTCTTTTATTTATTGTTTTTTGCCCTGTTTTGACAATTTTAACTAAGTTAACTTTACAAATTATGAAACGATATTGCAGGTTCCCATACTTCTTGCCTTGCCTTATCATATCTGTGTTCTCACTAGGCGTGTTTATTATTTGCTGTTATCTCCCGGTAATTTCTAACATCTATCTTTTTGTTATTCATATAATAATATATGTAGTTTTTAATGTTTCTGTTCAGTTTTGCTCATTCTATCTTGAATGGGGTCTTCTTAATAATTTCTTACATTCTTTTTCATGGTCAAAAAGAATAAGAAAGGGTTTGAAAAGTCGAGTGGATAACGTCAACTCTGTTCAGGTTGTTTGAATGTCCTAGTATTTGTTCCTGCTTCAAAGAAATCTTCTTATGCAATTCCTTTTGGTTTCAGAAATCAGTTGCAAAGAATGTCCCTGTTGTATTTCATTTATCAGTTTTACATGAATAATTGCACTTCAGTTCTCACTTTTTTTTTTTTTGGTTATGGACAGTAGTTTAACTAGTATGAGGGCTCATGTACTAAACTTGTTATTTAGGGAAACCATCTAAACTAAATCTAGCATCAACATGTCTTTCTCATGAAGGTACCTGGTTAACCCTAGATAAGAAGGTTCTTGGATGGGTGTTATTGTAGTGTTAAACCACTGTGGTTAGCTATCCTTGTTATGGACTTAAGCATATGAATATGCAGCAAATTTTGCTGTGAATAACATTATGAGGGATGTTTATATCATCATCTTTACTAAATGGAAGATGCATTAAGTACATATTATTCAAATTGTCAGATAGTACAAGAAACGCAAAACATGTTCATGTAAAAATTATTTCTCCAACACCTTGAAGTGATAAGGCAGTCTTCTTCAGAAATAAAAGGCATGACATAATTCCGAATTTCAACCACCTCCAGTAGCAACTTCCATATGAACTTTTTGACTTGCTGTCAAATATTCTATTACTAAGGAGTATGCAACAAAATATTCTCAGTAGCTTCTGCATTTCTAAAGGTACATTTCATCGAAAACAAGTATTTTTGGAAAATAGAATAGAACAGTATTTTTTTATAAGAAACTTATATATATGTATATTTATGTTAAAAAAATTAGATTGTAGATTAGTTACCTTCTACTACAAAAGTAAACCATCTAAAAAGGGGGCACACTATGGAACACAATCAATCCCAACTTTGTTCTTATTTTTTTTCTTAGACTCTTCTAGCCTTCTCTGAATATTTGTTCTCCATCTTCTTACGTGATGGGCTTAAATATGTTAAATGCTACTCTTGATATTATGGATACATGTCTTTGGATAGGTGCTAAAATAAGTAAAGTGGAGTCTGAATCCTTCTTTTTTTTTTCCTTTTCTTTTTGGGTTCAGAAATAGAAATAGTTTACTAAAGAATCTGAAGTTTTGTACTGTTGCAGGAGACACTCCACAGCCATAAAGAATGTGATGAAGCATTAGATGACTCATATGATGCTCTAGAGGCAACCTTGTCCAAGTCTAATATGGATGAAAAAGTGCAGATTACTGAGCCAAGATGTGCCTCACAAAAAAGCCTTTTGAAAAATTGGCCGTTAATGTCATCTATCATCGTCTATTGTGTTTTCCAACTTCATGATATGGCCTATTCAGAGGTAATTTTCTTTTTTAAACTATTTATTTTTTGAAAATAATTCGTTGCATAAAAAAAATCTTGCAACATCATATGACCCTCATAATCCATAGCGCATTTTACTTTTTTGTGATGAATAACTGGTTAGAAAATTCTTATAGGATTATTTGCAAATCCTTTGGTCATATGGATAAATGAGTTTTAACAGATCCTCAAAATATAAAAACAGAAGTCCAAGATTTTGTATTTCATTTGTCTTTGTTTTCTGGCACAAATGAAACTGGTGCTAAATTATTCCTGTACTAAGTCCTACTAAATTTCAGCTTCTTACTTTAGTGAGTAACCATTATCAATGAATGTGAACAAATGATGTTTCAGTTCCTTGGCACCTTGACCTGGGATGCCAAATTGATTTAGTTGGACCCTAACTTTAGGTAGATGCCAAAGTCACTGCTACTGCAACATGTTTATATTAGGTTCATAACTCTTTGTTACCCAAAATTTAGGTTCTTAGAGGTTTCTCACTTTTTTGGTAAGATGAATTTACTTGGACCCAAATTTTCTGTCACTAAAAAGAGGACTTTTCTTCTTCTTCTTCTTCTTCCTTTTTTACTCTGTAGTCTAGCACTGTTATTCTTTAGTATTCTTTAACTTCTTCTCAGATATCTTGGTCTTATATCTTTATTTTATTTAATTATTTTTTCAGATTTTCTCATTATGGGCTGTCAGCCCCAGGAAGAATGGGGGGTTGAGCTTCTCAAGTGCAGATGTTGGTGAAGTTCTTGCAGTTTCCGGTATACACATATTAGTACTGTGCGTTTGATCAGTTTTCATATAAGAATCCCCTCTTGATTTATATATATTCTATAATTAGAATTTTTTTTTCTAGTGCATGGGTTTCCACAGTCAGGAATTCGAGCTGTTATGTTTTCCTCAGCAATTAAGTTGGTCGAACCTAGCAAATATAAACAAACTTTGATTACTCAGAAATTCTCTCTCAGTGTTGCGCTCTTCTTTACTTTTCTCCCCTTTTTTTTTCTTATTGCCTTTTTTCAGTCACTTAAATTTTTAAGCCTTTAACAAAAAGGTAAACGAGATAAGAAAAATGGCAAGTTGAAATCTTTTGATATATTTGGATGTGTTAATTCTTTTGGAACAAAAAGTGGACAGAATTTTTCCTAATGATTTCTTTTTCATTCCTTTCTTTCCTCATCTATATTTTTCTTTTTATTCTGTTTTTGCTGATTTCCTTGCATTTTTCTTCATGCTGCACTGCCTGTTCAGGACTGATTGATTTTTTTTGCAACTATCCTGATCAATTTTCCGAAAGCAATTGCTAGTACGCCAACTATTATCTGCACAATCTGTGATCCTATATTCTTTTTCTCAAAACCTGTAAATGATGAATATATCTTGATTAGATGTAAAATTTTAGTTTTGACTGCATAAAGTTTTCTCGTAACACACTGCACAAATTTGATAGATGCAGAATTACATAATTATCCAAATCAATGTTTTGAGTAACATTGTGGGTTAAGTTAAAGTAGGTTTGGATCAGACAGCCTAATGATGGGGTTGATCACTGAGCTTATAGAAGAAGAAAAAAGAAGAAAAGAAAATGAGAGTGATTGTTTACTAGTCTAACCGAAAAGTTTTTGTAGATGGAGCTAACTTTTTCCTTCGCATGCTGGTTTAACAAGCAGCTTAACCAAACGATAAGCTATAATGTAATGGGTATAGTAGATATAGTTCTACATGCTAATTTAATTCAGAATACAATTATGCTAGTTTGTATTAAAACTTCTGGTCTTTGGTTGCAAATGCTATATAAAGTTTGTTACATAGGTTCTCAACTGTGTTGTTTTTGAGCTTATCTTCTATCATTTACTGAAACAGAAATGAGTTTCATTATAAAATGGGATACAGGATGTTGGCTTTTTCCATAAGATAGACACTAGGGCACAGCTGTGTATTCTATACCTTTGAATTACAAATATAAGAAATTAATACTCCAATATGATTGACAGATTGTTTGCTAGTAAGAGATACACAGATGATGAAAACATTGAGTAGATAAGATCTTTTTGTATGTGTTGACAACAAATCTCTTATCAGCCCAGTGATTCTAGATATATTGTTTAATCTCTTATTACTTTCTATGCAAGTGTTATGCGTGGGAACATCTGAGATGTGTCCTCAAGTGTCTTAAATGTTGATCTTTCAATGGGAGAACTTTACTACAAATTGTATTCGCTTTTATATGTATATATATATGACTTCTAAAGACACAAAATGTGGATTGTGTCAGAGCTTTAATAATATTATTGTGCTCTTACTGACAGTTTTAAGTTTCAGCCAAACGTTAACTTAACAGACTAGTTTCAGAAAGTCTAAGAATAGATTAGTTATACAGATAGTGACTTAGAAATTTAACACCAATGGTGGAGCATTCATATATACTAATCCAAGAGTATAGAAAGTTGTTGAGATGACATTAAAAGTAACTACCTTTTGAATTTGTTGATTAGGATGAATGACTAGGATTCATGTTGAATTTTTAATTAAAAATTGAAGTTGCCATAATTTATATATAAAAAAGCAAAATGATCACTAACCTTTTTTTTTTTTTGTTATTTTGTTGTCTTGCAAACTACTAGGCCTTGGACTGCTTGTCTTTCAGCTACTTTTTTACCCACTTTTAGAGAGAAATTTGGGAGCCGTCATGGTTTCTCGCATTGGAGCAGTATGTCTTTTATCCCATATCTAATTAATTAATTCTGTTTTCTCTCATTTGGTTGTGAATTCATTTTGACTTTTTGTTTGTTTCATACGAAGGTCTTAACCATTCCATTGCTCTCTAGTTACCCCTATATAGCTATGCTAACAGGCATCACCCTCACACTAGTGGTGAACTCCGCATCTTTTCTGAAGAATCTGATATGTGTAAGTGCATGTTTCGATTGGGATATCTTTTTCCCCTGTTTGCTTTAATATGTAATTTTGAAGTATTTTGATCATTGGGTTGTGATGGTTGACTGTCATATGTAATGCTGTTAGATTCAGGTGTTCTTCACCAATTGTTAAGCTTGCATGATGGCTAAGATGCTGACCAAATGGTTTCTGGTTCAGATCATATAAAATACTTCTTAATCTTATATGGATGAGGATAATCGGATGACTTGTTCTACTTTTATTGAGTGAATGCTTCAAATGAAAATATGTTATATAAATTCCGATATTACTATTGGCAAAAGCTAATGGAGGAGAAGCTTTCTTTGACTCCCCACAACTTCATTGGTTTATGTTTTTGGGGTCCAATTTCTGATGCTAAAGTTTTGATTAGATGATTTTGGATCATTGTAATGAGATTTTTCTCTTTAGATTTCAAGTTAAGTTTCCCAGCTTTGTGGAGTTGAATGAATCCTAACAGCTCATGCTTATTGGAAAAGGGCCCAACTATTTTTTTAAACCCCAAGTGTTATTAGCCAATGACAGTTGAAATTCATTCTTCTTAGTAATCATTTAAGGATCAAATGCGGATTCTAATATGTTCTTCCACATTTTATTTCTATATTCCAAACTATCCATTTATTGCTATCTCTAGCATAACTTTTTTCACTTGGAGGAATTTTAGAACTTCATAATATAACTTGTAAATGTTTCTGCACGTATGCTTATGTGCATAACATTTGATGAAATTTGGTTAAATTCATTATGTAGCACTAAATCCTTCTTGAGAAGGAAAAAGTTTTCAGAACTTTTTTTATTTCAATATTTGTGCAATTCATTTTTCCCTAAAACAAGATACATCAGCATTTAAGCAGCAGCTTGCAAGTTATGGATACATACATGACTGACTTCTTATCAAACACTTGTGCGAGTATGAGTTAAGATGGGAAGTATTTATGGTGATTATTGAGAATGTGTATTCTTCTTATGATATATCTGACCTTATTGTCCTTTTATTAACACTTTCAGGTATCGATAACTACAGGGTTGTTCCTTCTGCAGAACAGAGCAGTGGTAACATTGCTCTCTTCTCTCCTATATGTTCTTTCTTTTATATCTTTAGGCTTCTATTGCTCACTTACAGTTAGTTTCTCATTCTTGTCAACTGTCCTACTTGTCCTCATTGTCAGACACAACAGCAAAGAGGAGCTGCTAATGGCATTTCCATGTCTGCTATGTCCCTATGTAAAGCAGCTGGTCCAGCTGCAGGAGGTGCCCTGTAAGTGTCTCATTGATTGATTTTGCCCTCCAATTAAATATTTGTGATGGTATGAAGAGTGAAAAATTGCGACTGCATTTTAAATTTATTATATTCAACAAACTTATATGATGTGGGACAAGGAGGAGAAAGAAAGGAGAGGGAAAGAAAGAAGGGAAAACAATCAGAGAATGATAGGATATAAATTAGGGAGAGGATATAATGAAGAGGAGAAAAGTAGAAGAAAAGTAACAACTTTGAAAGAGATTGGAGAGAGAAGAGAATAATTCAATCATCATATGAGATAATTGATCAAATCCAATTTTTTTTTTTTTTTTTAAATTGAGTCTTATCTAATCAAGATGTATGGATCCATGGATGTTGAGACTTACTCAATGTACTGCTTGATGTAAAACGGATGGTGGATTGTTTTCTTGTCTTTTGTTGAATAAGTAATTCAAATCCTACTCAAATAAGAAAAATAAATTTGGTAAAACCAAATTAACTCAAACAATTTAAATAATTAATATCCTATAATAAAATTTGGATTCTTAATTTTGCATGAGTACTGTAAACATAATTTATGTAGCCATATCCTTTAGGTCAATGATTAGACATTTGTGTTTTTTTGCCAGCCAAAAATTGTAAATGTATACCTTTGTCAAAGTAAATATATTGCGGGTTTAAGTGGAGCATATTTTTAAATTATCCAGGAAGTTTGTATTGTGGTTGATATATGCATTGTTAGAGCTTTAGATTAAGATTCTTTGTATTTATAATCATATTGAATAGTTTATCATATCTTAGCCAACATGGAATTTTTGGAGTCTCAGCAATAATCTTTGAGTGCAATTAAGAATGCTGGTAAGCTTGAAGTGTACCATCAATGTAATGAGTATTATGCTGAATGCTAAATCTTTAATTGGATCATGCTATTTGTTTTCCCCTTTAAGTTGGAAAAATAGTTTCATAGGGAAAAACAAAATTTATATGAAACCCTAGAAGTACCAAGTATCTTACAAACTATATTTGTTTGGGCACAATTGTTTTGTCTTGGAAACTGGTGGTTTTATTGAAAGAATATTTCGTTTCAACCATTAGTGAGTACCTCTATCATGTTACAATGATAGTGTTTTGGCCATTGATGTATCAAACCTTGTTTTACTTGTCGGGGATCATGAAATGTCTAGTAACATTGTATTCCAGGCAGAATTACATCTGTTTTTCAATTGTCAGTTTGAGAGAAAAATGGATTTTGAAGACATTGAATTCAATGGCTAGAATTCAGTGGCTAAGATAGCATCTTTGTCTTCTTGGTTTTGTCACTAAATGCCATCCACCTTGACATATTTTCTTGTATTAACCACTGTTGTACCTCCCTTTTTGAATCTCCCATTGACATATAACGCATATAACTAAACACATGCCATTTAGATCTACCAAATTTCGAGTTCACAGCAATCCATAAATTCAAAACATCAAGTCCTTATGTGTACGTCATCTAAGATGAGTGTTCGTTGTTTTGGCACTGATTTAATTTTTTGTAATATGTAATATGCGTGACATAGCTTAATCATGTGTGTTTATTTAATCTCAGAAATACGTGTGTGCATATCATTATTATTTATTATTTTCAATATATTTTTCAAGTTAACTTATTCAACAAGATTTTCTCTTATAGTTTATCGATTATCTCAATATATGCAGCTTTGCTTGGGCACAAAGGCGTCTAAATGCTTTCTTTCTTCCAGGTATAACAGCTACTTGAATGCCATTCAGACATTTTTGTTTATTAGAATCGATTGAATCTCCTTCATTATATTAAAATCTTTTCATTCGCAACCCTTATGATAAATAAGGCACTTATCCAAATCAATTATTAGAATTTCACCTGAAATATATGTTATATATGATTTGGTCCAATATTCTTTTGCTTTTGTCTTCTATTATTGATGATAAATTTATTTGCAGTCTCTATGGTGCAATGGTCCTATAATTTTCTTTTAAAAAAGAGAAATATATATATATATATATATATACCTGTTTCAAATTATCTTTCGAATTGTTATCGAAATTGTCATCTTTTATGTCTTGAGTTTTAATTATTTTTAGCTTCACATTCTATCTAATAAGCTTGAGTAAATGGTGTGCTTGAGATGCAGGTGATCAAATGGTTTTTTTTATCCTGAACATCATTGAGGTAGTTGGACTGTTGCTGACCTTCAAGCCTTTTCTAGCTGTACCAGATGATAATATCTCATAGCTCAAATGCAGAAATTCAATACTTGAAAATTCAAATCTCGATTGCATAGGTAGTCATATATTCATACTTGAAAATTTTGGTGAGGAAAGTTGTAATACAAGTTTATTGCGAACTTTGCCGTGAAAGCTTGTTTAAAATAATGAACTCGTAAGATAAATAGAAAATGGCCTGTTAAACTTCTACTGTGAATATTTTTCACTAATATATAGAGAATGACCATTGTTTATCATTGTAGAATATGTTTGTATAGACAGGACTTTAAATGATCTAATGATGTCTTTATCTAATTTTTTCATTAATATATAGAGAATGATCATTGTAGAATACTTTTCAGTGAATTTCAGCATTTGATAATACTCTTGAGTTATGAAATCCACTATTCCCGCCAAATTTGAAGTAGTGATATGTGTTTGAGCATCAAGCATTTGCTTTGTAAGTCCAAAGTCAGAGATTCTAGCTTCCATATCATCATCCAATAGCACGTTTGTGAGCTTTAAATTTATGTAAATAATAACCGCGCTATGACTTTTTGTAGATATTCACTTCCAGTTGTCACTTCGAGTGTGATCTTATGTTCGGTAAGCCAATCCAATTCTCTATTGCCTCGTGAAACATCATTCAAAATATTTTGCAAACTTTTATTTTTCATGAATTCATACATAAATAAATGATTGTTAGGTCGAGATATATGAGCCAACAAAGGAAGAATGTTTTTGTGCCTAATTTGACCTGCAATAATTAATCTCAGGCTGGATTTGTCTAATTTTCTTGCTCAATAACTTACCATTTGCATCAGTCAACTCCGCGACATCCTTTCGAGGCTGAACTGAACAACTTTTTTAATAGCAATCATCTTGCCATTGCTTCCCGGTAACTCAGCCTTGAAAACTTGCCCACACCCACCTGATCCTATGACTTCCAAAGAACTGAAGGAAGCAAGACCATCACCTTTTTCCAGGAAAGCCAAGTCTTTAGTTTTCTTGATTAATTAACTGGCCAAAATCTCTACTTCCACGTTTATACATTGCCAAAACTAACTTAATCAAGAAGCGCCAAGCTGGCCCGACACCTTGATTATCAAAAAAAAAAAAAAAAAAAAAAAACTAACTTAAATGACATTGCAATGACAAAAATAGAAAATAATACCTGCTAGTGCTAAAGCAAATCTTTAAATCCCTTAAATTAGCATCCTTCTATAACCTTTTGTACTTATGATTTGATGTTGATGGAGTAGAAGTTTCAGCATTACAAGAAGCTATTTCACTTAAACCTGGAGTTGGAGTTGTAGCTGAAGAATTATTGCCCAAGAAGTCAAAGTGTGTGAAGAGAAATAGAGAAAAGAGAGTGAAGTGAAAAATGTGGAGAAAACCATGTTTTTTTGTGGCGAAGTTTTGTAGGTTGTTACTGTGGGATAATTCACAGAGGTTGCAGGTTGCTACTGTGGGTGATGGTAGGGGAGAGATAAGGTTTTGGGATCAAATATCTTCTTTATATTAATTCTCATATAATAAAAAATCTAACCAATGTCATAGAACCTACCAAGCTCTCATCATTGGAATGCCTTTAAGAATCTTGATTGGGTAAAATTTAGCGTGTGTTATTAGTTAATCTAAAACCTATCAAAATGAATTTTATTTCGATTAAAGATGTTTAAATTTATTCCAAACTTTACTTTCTCCAAATCAAATGGCATTAATTCTCAAATCTCATCATTTTGAAGTAACTGTCATCCCTTACGTGGCAATGCTGAAATTACTGTCCTGTCCCCAAACCATAAAAGATCAAGTTGGTCATGGATGGAGAAACATAGGTGATTGGAATAAAGCACGTAAATCATGATATAAGTGCTATAAATTGTCAAACACCTGTCTTTCAAAGAGCACGGGAGTAATGAAGGGATTCACGAAGCTAGTGGATTAGAGAAAAGTTAATTAAAATGCAAGAAATGGAAATTTCTTGGGATAGGTTAGGTTCCAAGCTTGTTACTTCATTCTTTTATGTCAAATCCAAAATTGCATGTGATTATGACTCCGAAAGTTACATTTTTCCTTTCTAAAAGGACCCAACTACATTTTCCCACCCCAGCTATATGAAGCATTGGTAACATAATAAAAACTCAACACAGTTCAAGTCCTTTTTGGACGAATGTTGGGATAGAGTGTTACCGACGTGTGAAGATTCTAGAGCTCATACTGAGCAAGGGACTTTTAATATACATCAACTTTTCTCATACCTCATATTGTGCTAGAGACTTTGAATATACATCAACTTATTTCATAGCTCATAGTGAGCAAGACTTAGAATATACATTAACTTTATCTCATAGCTCCTTGTGAAGAAGAGACTTTGAATATTGTTCCCCTTAAAACGTTTCCAATTAAGCCGCCCCCCACGAACTTCCTTGGCTGATTCTTCCCTTTTTTTTTCTCCTTGCGCTTCTCACTTGTATATAATAAAGTTAAACTTACTCGTTCGGAGCAAGCCCAAAGCAACAGACTCGCTAAAGATCAAGCGAAAAGATATTCAATTACAATTTACAAGCATCAAATTTTCTATTGATTTGAGGCTCTTTTTTCCCATTACTACTAAACCTTTTCATCTTCTTTTTGTTACACAAACCGTAAGGAGAAGACGATGAGAAATGGAACCAAGATGTTGTTACATAAATTCTTTAAGATCAAGTTCTGTTTATATTGTTATTAATTCTTGTACTTCTATTACTATTACTCTTCCTCTTTACGCCCATCGCACTACCTCTGTCTTAGCACTAGCTCTTTCATTATAACAAAGTAGAGATTTCCTTATCCTTTTGTCTCTTTTAATCCTAACCTCAACCATTTTGCAACCTTATCCTTTTTTCAATGACCTACGTGTTTCTAATTACCATATCACCCTAGTTTGCAAAGCTATCTGAGTCTATTTTAGTGCTTTTTGAACCAATTTCCTCACACTCTATGAACCCATACTCCTGTTATACACATCACTAGTGCCAACCAAAATCAAGAAATCTCTTCCTGATGAAGTTGAAGAAATTCAAATGTTAAGGTTCAAGGTAATGAGCCCCATTTGGAGCACATAACCTTGAAGTAGTAATTGCTTTCCCATAACCCAGCCTTTAAAACTTGCCCACACCCACCTGATATCCTATGACTTCCAAAGAAGCAAGACCATCATCTTTCCAAGAAGGCGAAGTCTTCAGCTTTCTTGATTTAATTAATAACCTATATATTGTAGTGCCAAAATCTCTACTTCCACTTTTATACGTTGTCAAGATGATAGGAACTCACTCCCAAATTAATAAGAATTGGGTTGGGTTGTGAGCCTTTGATAAGAATTGGGCTGGGCAATGGTCATTTTGTGGGCTTGGGTAGAACTCTCTTTAGAAAACCGGCTTGTTAAAGGAGGGTGCCCAAGCTCTTTATAACCCATATGCCCACCATTTTCTCTTCCAATGTGGGTTCTTAACACACCACCACCCTTCCACAACTAATTTCCATGTCGGCCTCTTTACCCCTTGGGTGACTACATGATTTGTGTTAGGATCCTACATTGGAAGGGAAAAGGGTGGGCATGTGGGTTATAAAGGGCTTGGACACCTTTCTTTGGCAAGCCGGTTTTCCAAGAAGAGTTTTACCTAAGCTCATAAAAAGACCATTGCCCAACCCAATTCCTATCAAAGGCCCACAGCCCAACCCACTTCTTATTAATTTGGGAGTGAGTTCCTATCAAATGGTATCAGAGCATGATCCTACGACCATGTGGATGTCACCAATGTGGCAGGTTGACCTTGGGCCTGGGCTGCTACCCTGAGAAAGGGCATAGAGACCCAAGGGAAAAGAGATCCGCGTAGTCAGCCAAAGGGTAAAGAGGTTGACATGGACGTCGGTTGTAGAAGCATGATGGTGTTTTAGGATCCCACATTGAAAGGGAAAGGGTGGGCATGTGGGTTATAAAGGGCTTGGGCACCCTTCCTTGGCAAGCTGGTTTGTTCGTAGAGAAGGAATTCATATATGTTATTCAATTAAAAAAAATACAATATACAACCCTAATATATTTACTATATCACAATTACATAATTACCCTTACCTATATTTACAATATTCCTAACACTCTCCCTCAAGCTGGAGCATATATATCTATCATACCCAGCTTGTTACAAATGTAAGTTACCCTTTTTCTATCTAGAGATTTAGTAAAGATATTAGCTAGTTGTTCCCTGTTCTGACATAATTAGTAGCAATCAAATTTTGTTCAAGCTTTTCCCGTACAAAATGACAATCCACCTCTATATGCTTTGTCCGCTCATGAAAAATTGGATTATTTGCTATATGTATTGCTGCTTGATTATCACACCACAAATCCATAGTCCCTGGATCCAACTCCAATTTCTCCAAGAAGATGTCTTATCCATATAAGTTCACACGTCACTTGTGCCATAGCTCAATACTCAGATTCTGTACTTGATCTAGCTACAATAGGTTATTTCTTACTTTTCCACGAAACAAGATTTCCTCCAACAGAGACACAAAATCCAGTCACATAACAACTATCTACAGATGACCCTACCCAATCTGCATATGAAAATATTTCTACTTTATTGTGACCATGATTACTATAACCGATTCCACGTCCAGGAGCTCCTTTGAGATATTTCAAGATATGAGGAATAGCATCCCAATTAGGTGTCATGGGTGATGATATAAATTGACTCACCACACTCACTGAGAACGCAATATCTGGACGGGTTACTATAAGATAATTCAATTTTTCAATAATTTGTCTATATCGCTTTGCATCACAAAACACCTCTCCATCCTTATCATTCAATTTCACATTGGGAACCATAGGAGTATCATAAGGTTTAGCTCTAGTTAAACCTGTTTCAGTCAACAAATCTAACACATACTTTTGTTGAGACAAAACAATTCCTCTTCTACTTCTAGAAAGTATTTTAAAGAGCCCAAATCTTTCATGTTAAATTTAGAAGCCAAAAAATCTTTCAAACTATGAATGCCACCGCTATCACTACCTGTGATCATAATATCATCAACATAAACAACAAGAAGGAGAATGTTGGAACTAGACTACTTATAAAAGATAGAATGATCATAAGCACTTCTATGTAAACCAAACTCAGACACCACACTACTAAACCTCCCAAACCAAGCATGTGGAGATTGTTTCAAGCCATATAAAGATTTTTGAGTTTAC